GTGTGAGTAGTACTTGCCATGACCGGTTTCGAACCTACTAAAGTTCGTTATCAAATGGCTAAAAACTTTAAAATGATCAAAATCAAAGATTTTCAACTTAAAAAAGCTAAAAATCGTATTGTTTCGATCGAGAGTCGTTTAAATCATGAGGAAATTGTGAAATAGTCTTTACTCACTTTATTGCTGGTGTTGAATAAAAGGCCGATTGAATAGGGTTTTTATGAAAGGGAAGAGTTTGTAGGTTTTGGCTATTGCAAGACGTCATTTGATTGAAAATTTGAAGATTTGTGTGTTGTGTAACAGTATCACTGTTGTTTGTTAGATAGTATTTGACTGAGTAATAATTCTTTTTAATTGATGTTTTTTTCTGAAATTGAGTCATAAATCTAAAAGTAGAATAAACTTTAGAAGGCGTAGGCTTATATGGATTTAATATAGAAAATGGCTAAGAGCTTTGAACTGATTGAATGAAATAAGATGTTTTTTAGGGGAAAGTTCAGATGTGTTAGGGTTTGAAGTTATTTCTACGAATCGTTCGTTGATTGTCGATTATCTGTTAGATTGAATGATGCTAATAAAAGGAATTGTTTTGCATAGTTTGCACGTTCGATCATATGTTGTCGACGTTGTTCGATAGCCTCATTCACACATTTCTGATATTCCGATGTTGATTCCATATATCTATTTTGAACAAAAAACTTGTTCTGTTCTGCATGTATAATTGTTTGGATTTGTTCATGTTCTTTCTCATGGATAAAGATAGCTTCTTGAATAATATCTTTCTTCAAATTTATCAGCGTTTCAATGCAGTTCGATGAACTAAAAGTTGTTGTTGAATTTGTTAAGGAATCCTTGAGTTTTTGAATTTTAGTGTTAATATTATTGATGATTTTATGAAGTAAATCAGATGTTGGTATTAATGCTGTAGATAGAAGACGATGTTGTAACAAAGTAATATCTTCGTCTATTATCAGTTGATCCTTTGTTGCTTTCCATATATGTCTTGCCCATGTGATCTGTAATAAATTCAAATAAGAGATATGTGATTTCTTCAGAGGAAATATTATAGTTGATATGCTCACATGTCTACTGTTTGGTTCAATATCAAAGAAATTTTGAAGTAATTGATGGTCATTTGCATCCAAAAGTAACATTTTTCTTTGATATTCGAATTTATCCTTTACAACTTGTTGTTTTTCTTGTACCAATTCATAATTAAGGGCGTTTAATTCTTTCAATACACTTACACAATCATGCTGTTG